AGCATTTTCTTTTCTAAAAGAAATGTGAAAAGAAGGATTAAGTTCCATTTTCAATAACATGGAAAAAACATGAATTAGAGTATTTATTTCTAAAGCAATTAGTTGTGAAAATGGAAAAAAAAGCAGCACATTAGGACAAATTTAAAAGGTTCTTGTCATAATCTGAATACATAGACCTTTGGTTCTTTGTGAGATGTGTTAAGTATGTCTGAATATATTCCTTTTTTAATATAATTATTTCTTTCTTCTCTATCTTGGAAAGAGAATTATCAAATACAATTTACCTCAGAATATTTTTCTACTTCAAATGTATGTAAAGTTTTCTATGTAAACAGGCACAATTACTATTATCTTCAGCCAGATTCATAGACAGCAGAAGGAAAAGCTCCCGGCTTTTTTCAGCTACAGTTATCCTCAGATACTATGTTAACATTATGTTAGTTCAAATATTTTATTTATTTTTTTGTTAATAATTGAGATGAGTCTGAGCTAGACCACTGAATCTTTACATGATAATCTATCTTTAGCCTTTTGGGAAGCTCAGGTTTGGACAAGTTGTTTTGAGTTCTCTGTTGGTTCTGTTTGTGTTTGGCATGTAACAAAGAAATGCCCCAGAAAAGGAAAACAATTCAGCAGCATTAAAATATTCATTTCTTTAAAAGATGCAACTTCATGGAAAGCAGGTGCCTAAGAAAAAAAGCCAAATACAAAGAAAAAAATTAGGCTTTTAGAGAATATGTGAGCTCCCTAAATTATGCTGACAGAAAGATAAAGATTTCCTTAATACCTGGTGAAGAGTTTCTGGCAGCATTCAACTAGCTCTGTGCTGTTGGCAGGGAAATCTGTGGAGTTGAAGGCATTTCCTAACAAGATGTGGCAAGGAACTTCCAGACCAGGGACAGTCAGCATTCCTGTGAAGTAAGTAACAATTTTCTAAATGAGTAATGAAGAGGAAGATGGATTTGTGGATGTCAGTCACTGGGGCATGGTCAGGTGAAATGTTCTGGCTGATACAAAATCACCTTCTAAGATGGTTCTGTAAAAGTGCAAGATTAAAACCCTTGAACTGTGGGATTTTTAAAAAATCCGAATCATTTTATAGAGCTGGATTAAGGAGTGACCACAAACTTTTTTTTATATGTAGAAATTAAACTATTGTAACCTGTTACACTTAGAACAGTTTGTTTTTCTGCCCCTTCTAATGCTACTAAAAAGGTATGCTAACGGCTTTCGCACTGCTGGGCCAGTGTGTTTCATTAACTAAAATGGAGCTATGCTGCATTTATAGCAGTGCAGGTAAATACAGGACCTTTTCTTTTGTTCTGAATGGAGATAGTTGTGGTTTATTTATCTTTGCTTTGCCAGATTTCCTGTAAGTAGTAATGTCAGCATTCATTGAAGTAATGGAGACAGAAAAATATGAAAGTGGCAGCTCCTTCTTGTACGTAGTGTTGTGGAACCCGGACACGTTTTTAGTGTGTTCTTACCTTAACTGGGGTAGTAGAAATTGCTTGGCTCTTTTACCTTCTTATGGGCATAAGGAAAGCATTTGTCATGGCAGGAGTGGGTGGAATGTAACTTTCTTTCCAAAGCAGATTTTACTGTTTTGGAAAGATTTCCCAGTGGCTGTTCACAATTTTATTCTTAAGGCCAGGATTGTGAAATTACACATTTTAGTAAGAATTCCTGATTCCTCAGTTATACAGAGTAGTGTCATGTATTAAAATATTATGGAGGGCTGTGAGACTAATGACATTTCAAGTGTACTAGTTCTATAACCTTCAGAAAATAGCGTGGGCTTATCCTTAAAATGTGTATGTTTCTGTTGCTGCAGTGAACACAAAGGGATAGGGAAGCTGTGGTAGAAACAGACACGCTGTTTTCAGCTACATAAAGCACCATGATCGTTCTTCACTGGAGGAATATGAGTGCTTTAACCTTCATCATGCAATTCTGCATATCACATGCTCAGAAAAGAAAGCTGGGAAAGGGATTGTTAAATACTGGGGATAAATTTTACCTGCTGAATCATATCTGGTCAATTAATTAATCTTTTAAATCACTAATATTATGTTCTTTTTAATTTCCCCCCTAAAATGGCTGTTGCATTGTGACTTTTTACTCAGCTTGAAGGTGAGACTTTGAAAATAAGTATCTGCTGTTGAGTCCCACCTTTAGGACAGTTTCATTAACTTAAATGTTCTGTGGGAATACTATCAGCCCAAAATATCAATTTAACATTAAGGCGAAGAGTTGTTCATCTTCCCCCTCGCTCCTTCTCTGTTACACTCTCCTTTCATTCCAATTCTCCGTTTCTGCTTCGTAATTACTTCTGTATTTCTGTAGCCAGCCATGTGGAGGAGGGAATGTAACTCATCTATAACTTGCTTTGTTTGTGAGTCGTGTTACACACAGACTAACAAAAAAAAAGAGATAAGACATAATGGAAGAAATAAAATAAATCTCTTCATATTCCAGTTTTCAGGAACCTTTAGCCGCATACTGACTTTTAATCCTGCCAAACCCGAAAATACTGGCGTTTGAGTGGCCGGAGTTGCGCAGCTCCGTCTATCGTACCGACGCACTGCCACCCTGTGGTCACTGACTGTAAGAGACACCAAACTTGGGTACGGTACCTGCAACGCAGGCTGTCAGGAAACAGGCGACAGTTCCCGCAATCATTGCTCTGAAAGCACCACCAGCTATCTCCTTTTTTTTTGAGGGAGCAATGCTTGCTAGGAAGAAAATTAAAGTGTGTGTCAAACATAAATGCATATCGATAAAGAAGATGAACCAGCCAGCTGTCCCACCACAAGAGGAAATTCCCACCCAGCAGTTTGAACGAGGAGAAACAAGGAGGGAAAATGAGACTTTCAGTGGGCCATTTGAAGGCCTAATGCCAATGTTGCCTCTTTCTGTTAAGAAGGTGGCTTGTGTATAAAATGGCGACTTCTGTTTTCTTTGGCAGTTTGCACGTCTGTGCTGGCCAATGGCAGCTTTCAGGTGCAAACCCTGGGCATGGCACCAGGGTCTGGCCCCGCGGCTGGGTCCTGCTCCTCCATGCTGCCCCACTGCTGGCACCGCAGAGCCCACCTGGGCTCCAGGGTAAAGGCAGCCGCCAGCAATTCTGGCTGCCCAGTGAGGAACCCAGATGGTTTTTCAATTTTTCTTTTTCCCTTGAGATCTGAAAAGCCCTTTTTTTTCTTTCTTTTCCTATAAGCCTACTGCATATATGTGACATTTTTATAGGAAACAGCCAACTTTGTCTTTCAAACCAGCAGGCTACAGAGATGGTTTGCTGCTCCTGAAGCCCGAGGGCTGTAGTAGCTCAGGCTTGCAGTGTGAGGGCTGGACAGGGAGGCCTATCGGCGGGGCTTGGTCCCCTCCCCTTGCGCTCAGCCCCCCTCCCAGTACCTCCATGCCAAAGCCTGTGCCCCTCTGGGAGCCCTTCCATGCACAGCTGGGTGCTGGGTCTTGGCAGAGCAGCTGCTCAGCCCCTAATGCTGCTAAGCTTCACCCACAGCCTGTTCCTTTTGGGTGTTTTCTTTGGGGTTTGCTTGCCAAATAAATTGTCCGTGAGAGGTGTTCTTACTCAAGCCTCCTATTACCAGTCCCAGGGAGCCAAAGTTGGCAAACCCACAAAGAGCATAGGTGGCAATGACTTCAGAGCGAACCTGGAAAACAAACATACACCCTGTTGAATGATTTGAGGCAGCTCATGCTGATTTAGAGGTCTGAAAACATGGCATTGTGGCTCAGGGATCTGAGTACTGAAATCACTGATTTGCTTGGTTGCTGCCCCGGTGCGTGACTTTCAGCAACGTAGACTCATTCTCTTGCTGAAAGGTGCATGCTTTCATACCCACTGCCCATGTGAGGACTCATAAACCGTGTGATGGTTTTATTTTTCAGGTCTATTGCTGTGCCTTGTTGAACTGAGTACTAGTAATTAAAGACAAAAGATAATTCTTATCTTGCTAGTGGCAATTTAGCTGCTGTTTTTTGAAGGTATGAGTCAGAGAGCTTTAACTCAGCTTGTTGTTCGTAGCTGGACTGCCTCTGTAACACTCTGTTGAAACCACAAGTTTTGGTATGTACCCCTTACTTCTTTGTCCCACAACAAGCAGAGGACTCCATGTGCAAAGCTGCTCTCTGCATGCTCCACCCTGTGCACAGAGGAAGAAAAGGGAAATGGGTCTCCCAGAGAGTGGGTGCTTTGATGTTGTAAGAGGCAGAGGGACATTATGATTTTGGAACCCCCATTAGCGGTTTATTTCCTTCCTGACTTCAGCCACCTTCCTCCCCTTGGGCAACACCAGCTCAGTCTGGACCTCAAAGCAGAGACAAGGTTGGGTTGGTGTTTGCCCCCATGGAGGGACCCCTCACAGGACAGAAAATTACTTTGGGTGAAATCAGACTACAAACCTTGCAAACCTTGAGACAAATGTAGCTCAAACATTTTGGGAAAGGAGGCAACATATCTCAGCAAATGAATTTTTGTCCCCATGGCAGCTCTGAACTCCTATTTACTGTGTGGTAGGCCCAAGCTGAAGATGCCTGAGTGTTCTAGTAGATTTCCTGTTTATTAGAAGTTTCTCTGTTTCCATTCCTGTTTTATGAAAACCAATTTGTACACATTTTCAATCACTCCGCACATATGCAGGAAAATGCTTTTCAAGTACCCACTCTACATGCTTTTCCTAGAAAAGGCTTTGTGTACTGTGATTTCCCTGCTTTCATTTGCACTTTTCTAGCTCTGAAAACAGGAAGCCTTGTTATTACTGACTCAGGTGAGGGAGTTCAGAAGACTGCTTGTTTGCTCACTCTGACTGAATATCTGTGCCTGGATGTATTAGAGAGTTCTGAAGCTGAAGAGCAATTAAAAGTGGAAGTCAAGCGCACTCTCACCTGAACTGTTGTGCCATAATTAAAATGGTTACTGGGCAATTTTTACTACTGTTATGAATCAAAATTATTTTTATATCTCAGAGTTTTTTACTATGGAAGCTTATACAGCTCTATATAGGTATCAGAAGTGAACATGGAAGTTCTATATGACATCCTACTAAAAAAAAAAAGAAAAAAAGGTGAAGTACGGTTTATGGGATCTGAATTTTAAGGCTGACTTCCAAATTAAAAAAAAAAATAAATCACTCATTCAGGAGTTCGGAGCCATATTCCCCTTGTAGAACATAGCATGACTATAGCAGGGCAGATCAAAGGTCCATCTAGCCCAGGATCCTATTTCCAGGAATTTCAGGAACACTGGTAATGGATGCTCAGGCAAGCATGTCAGTATTTGATCAGACCACCTGGCTTTCTACCTCCACTTGTGAAATATGTTCTGGGAATAAGAAATGCAAGCAGTCAGGAACATGTTTTTGGTTTTGTATATAAGGTAGGTATCCACAGCATCACACCAGATTAAATGAAGATTAAAAGCTGTACAAAAGGATGCTTCCTAATTAAGGGTCCTCTACAGTGACAATTTGTCTTGATTTGAGGAAGAAAGGCCAGTGCAGGCATAAAGGCAGATATCATGGTTTTTGTTGCCTGTGCTTAGAACGAGGACAAATTCAGCACAGGCTGTGCATGTGGATGCCAAATGGGGGAGCAGTCATGGCTGCAAAGGTCCGCCTTGATCACTGCATGCTCTTTGCCCCTGTGCACACACCTAGCATGCCCTTTGTATTGCCATCCTCTAGGTTTCTTCCTCAGTGAATTGTAGTAGGAATTATGTATCCTGTTGGGTGAATCTGGGTGGACATGTGAATGAGAGGTGGGCCCAGCCTTTGGCTGGAAATCCTCATGCAAACTAACTTGCACTGGCAATGGAAAAAAACTGGTTGGACTCCATGCAGCAAGAGACCTGTATGCCATGTAATACATCTTGTATTACTGCCCTCTGCACAGGGGACAATAACCTCCAGCAGAGCTGTGCCAGTAATATCTTAAATGCCATCAGCTGAAGCTTACTGGATGCCTCTCTTGAAGCTTAATGCTTGGCTAAACCTCTGCAGGCAGGAGGATCCTCCAGTTCTTGCCCAGGATTTTCCTGGGAGAGTATCTCATAGGGAAGTGCTAGCTAAGAATGAGGTAAGAAGAAACTCACCTTGAAGACAGCCTTGGTCTTACATGCAGTGTCCTGTGGGACATTGCATGTTCCTCAAAACTATGCCTTTCTTTTGCTATGTTTGTTTGAGATAGCTAGTGTGATGACAGTCATGGGAACCTCACAAAGCAATGCTGCATTTTCATAATTGAACTATGTCACTGAAAAACACACTTTAGAGTAATATGCCACCATTATCCCTTTGTGCTCATATTAAAGAATGAGTTTCAGCAGAAAAGTATTAGATCCAATAAATCTGTAGAATAGAAAATGTTACTTACAGTCATATACTGTTTCACACCATTAATGTACATGCTCCCACCCTTTTCTCGGTTGTGAATCAGTTTTGAGAGGCGTTCGTAAGCCACAAATTCATTGAAGAAAGTTTTGTAACCTAGTAGTCCACCAACAATAAAACTGTCTTCCCAGTCTACCCCCATCATGAAAGAGAATGGCATGAAGACATAAGCACAAATGTTCTGCAAAATATATAAGACAAAACAGGTCAAAAGATATGGTTGGTCAAAGAACAATGGCATGCGATAAGTTCTTTAAACTTAAAATAAGGATGGTTTTATTTCAGCAGAGGAAAATTGCCCTTGAATTCTTACTGCCAATATGTCTGGGAGACTGAGGGTTTTTAAGAGTCATGTATGCTTGAGCAATTTTTAAAAGACTAACCCAAAATCTAGATATAACAAAGTAATTAGGTATGTCCCTAATTTTACACCTAAAGTAAAACAAAAGTTTCTGTGCCTTTTTTCCCCAACAATGGCTTCAGATTGGGCATAGTGTTTGAAGCAAAGAAGGAGGGTTCAGTTAAAAGAGCTGATAAGAGAATTGAGAAGCCTGGTTCTTCTGCTGATTAAATCAAGTGTGTTAATGAACATGCTTAATTACCAGGTTATTGGACCCCAACTGGTGTAAACAAAAGACTTGTCTCTGCATAAAAGGTGTGCATCTGACATAATTAAAACTGTACCTTTTTTCCTAGCATTAAAAGTTTTATGCAAATTAAAAAAAAATCCCATATCACAGTATAGCTTATTTTTATATAAGAGAGAAAATAGCTCCAGCTGTGAAAGGGTTCGGTCAGGTTGTCTTTAGTGAATGTAACTAACTGAGGTGTTTACGCAGTTACTATTCCTGGTTGGTTTCTCTGCCCACAAAAGGCTAGAGGTTAGTGTCTCTCAAAAGGGATGGCTGGCTGAATGCAGCGTGTCTGTGGGTCTCAGTTCCTTGTGGGCTATTTATCTGTCCAAATCTTACTCCATCCAGCAGTTATTAAAATACCAGCCCTTGCATGAGTGTGGCTGAGGTATGCAGACTTGTGCCTTTCCTCTGCTGTGGGTATCTGTGCAGTGGGATAATCTGTGGAAGCTGTGCAGGGTAACATCTTAATATTTTTGAAGCCACATCTGCTATGATTGTCTATGCACTTCTGCAGCACCTTTATCGCAATGTTATATCCGTGTTTCACACGGCACTTTTATTAGGAGCTTGCAAAACAAAAAGCCCCAAACCATTGAACCAAGATTGTTGCATTGGGTCAAAAATGATGTATAGACCTAGGTTAAAAAAGAAGTCCTGTTTAAAACCTGTTTGCTCAGCTGAGTGATTTGGGTGCAGTTTTACAATTTAATTGTGTTGTGAACTAAGTGTATTGAGTAAGCATGGCTTCAGCGAGTCCGGCCTTGCCCCAGTGTCCTTATCTAAGTGAAGCTAGCGAGCATTAAGGACTTGATGGGGCTCTCTGAAGCTAAAGCCACTTTAATGTTTGCGCTGAAGGAGATGTTAAAGGCTTTTGACAAGTGTGTAACCACAGATCTGCTGCACTGCCAAGTCAGAGGAGGCAGGTATTAGCATACAATGCTCTGTGAATGCTCTGCTGGTTAGCAAGAGCACCACAGAGGGAAGCTATACATGGACTAATGGATACAGAAATATTTACATGGCAACAATTCTTCTTTGGTTGTACAGACATTTTTCAATAGCATGCACATAAAAACATGTTTTTAGATCATATGAAAGAAACAAAAAAACCCCACAACAAAACCACACAGGCACTTAATTTGAGAAAGACAAATTATGCATGTATATAAGCTGCATGAAGGACCTGAAGACCATACCTCAAAGTTCAGCTGTGGATAGTCAAACAGATTGCCCACCCAAGAGAGGGCTGAGTCAAGGAAAGCCAGCAGGGCAAGGAAGGAGATCAAATTCACAGCGATGTTCGCCACCAGCAGGATAGAGGTGGAGGCACCTTGACTGGCTGCTTCCAGCAGGTTCTTTGATTCACTTTTATCAATGAAAATAAAACCAGAGTGTGAACATTTTTTAATTCAAGAACAAATCATAGAACTAAAAGTTACACAGACTTGATTAGGAATCTATTAGAGAAGCTGTCTGTTCACTCATAGGGAAAATAATCATAAGGTGGAGTAGGTTTTTGCTCTTGATCCTCATGGGAGCCACTGGGAAGCTTTTGGTGCCCTGAGGATAAATTCTGGCACATTCGGAGTTGGGCAAGCTCTGGATCAGGTATTAGTACTGTGACTGCCTGTGGCACCACTGGAATGGGGAAGTGGGCACAGCTCTTCTTGCAGGCAGCCCTTGCAGAGATGCCTGGGCTGTTCAGGAACAGCTCTTTACAGCTGTTTTTGCTTTGCCTGCTGTTCTCAAGGCAAGTGTCCCTGCAGATGGGCAACAAGTTCGCTGCTGTTATTGTTGAAATGATTTTTCCACCTTTGCTTGTGTATGTTTGCATTTACAGATCCATTACAAAGCAAAGACAGCAACAGAGCAATGGCAAAACCGCTTGGTGGCTCACCTCAGGTAGGCATTTCCCTCTTTCTTTGGAGGGTTTACTGTCTGCCCCAGGTCCTTGGCATCTCTGTGCCTGTCCCAATGGGTAGTGATACCTCCATACCTTGTAATGGGGCATGCTGCACCTGAATTCACAAACTACTCATTTGGAGTACACTGGTGTGTAATTAATTTATTGCTTGCACATCTACCATGTACTAACCCTAAAGCTTATGTGTGACGAGTTATTTTTCCAAATGTCATTTTTGCATGACTATTAAGTAGAGCCGAGATCAGCTTACCCTTTTGCCATTTGTAGGCCACTCCTCAGAGTTACTGTAGGCTTTTCAGTTTCAGGCCAGAATAGTTTGGAGGTGGCTAATGATGCTGGTGCTGACATCACAGAAGCAGTCAGTAGGTGGGAGGCGGAAACCTAGAATTCCAGGTGACAGAAAATATGCTGTGATAACCACATCATGCACAAACATGGAGAAAAGCAATTAAAATTATTAGATGCTTGGATGATTTTTCTACAGGGGGTCATTAAAAAGTTCACATTGCTTGTAAGGAAAAGAAGAGAACAAGCAATACAGGAGAAAGCCAATTGGAGACAGGAAAAGTCTAAGTAGTGAAAAGCATGGAGTAATCTTTCCGAGAGGCAAACTGCTTCACTCCTCTCTAGTGGCAAGCCAGAAGGCAAAAGAAACAAAAAAACCCCAGGTCCATTGAGTGCAGCTGGGTGTAGCAATAGCAGAGCAGGTGAGTGAGAGCCAGCCTTCTTTAACACCCCCCTATGCCTTGCAGTAGCAGAAAATTGTTTTTGTCCCCTGACGTTATGTTTTAAAAAAAAATTTACATGGCCTAACATAAATTATTCTATTCCCCTTTCACCCCTTCTTCCACAAACTTCTACACAAAACAACTTCTTTGCTAACTTTTCCAGCTCTCCTTTTCTTCTCTTATGCTCTCGGTCTTTTTGGCCAATCCTCCCTTCTGGCCTCTACCTCTCCACTGTATTTTATTCAGATATGGAACTAATATATTTATCAATTATCCCCCAATGACTCTGATCATAAATCACATCTTCAGCCCTGTTTTTCTTTGTGCTGCCAGCCCCTTAGGAGATTAGATGTTTACTACCCATGTTTGTACAGCATCACTAGAACCTCAGTCACAAGTCTTCAGGCTCATATGGCTAGCAACAGTTCCTGAAGGACTTTATCACTGCCACAGAAGTGGGAGGGTTGATCAGTTAGTATATTCCACATGTCAGTTCATCTGCACTGTAGGAAAGTATACAAATCAGTCATTTCCTTGCAGCTATGGCAGGAAGTCTCTCCGTATTACTTAGGTAGAGGTTTGTGCTACTTAACAATATTTTCAAGATCAGATCTTGGTATCCTTTTTACTGTTGGAAGACAGGGGATTTTTGTGGTTAATTCCTTCAGAAAAAAAAAAGATGGGAATGACTCAGATATACTTCCAAAAGCATTTTAGCTGGGCTTCTATACTTACATGATTTCAGATAAACAGTATATTTTCCAGTTCTTTTTCCCCGTCTTACCCCAAAAGAAATATATGCTCCTAAGACACTTCCAGCAATAGTTGAGAATCCGGCTGTCATGACTGCATGGAGTTCAGATTTGGTGATGTATGGTAAGTAGGGCCGTACCAGGAGAGGAGACTCTGTCTGGAAGTGAAAAACAACTACCAAATTAAGAAATTCCTAATAAACCCTCAGAGGTTTCTTTTATTAACAGGACAGAAAAATGAGTGGCAGCATCACACTTTCTTAGGTGTCTTTGACTAGTTAATCTTAGTGCTAATGAGTGCTCTGAATATTAATAGGTTGGGGTATTTTTAGCCCAAGAAGGAAAATTGTACCAACATCCATCTTGTCTGAAGACAATTCTTGCTGGTTTATCATCTCCCCAAAGGCCCAATGAAATTTCTGAGAAATCCTAATCTAATTCTGAGTGAGTTAGGGACAGCCACAGGTCTGAGCTGCAGGTAAGCCTGTGCGTCAAGTGAAACATGCATACCAACCACTATGGACAGCTTAAGCTCTCAGCTGCTCTGGCATGTGTGCAAGCACGTCCTGGACGCAGTGTCATGCAGAGGTACTAGTTTAAATCTTGAAGCAGTGTGATACAGTGACACACCACTGCTAAATAACTGATATGCTAATGTCACTTTTGGGCTTGGATGCTACTTGGTGATCTTTCCACATTGCTTTGAAGCATGGGACAGACCTGGGACAGACTGCTGTAGTATGATGTTAATGGATTTTCCATTAAAGTGGACTCTTAGACTCTGTCCCATGCTTTTTTGGCTAAGGCCTTGCACAGACAGCCCTGGATCTTAGTTTTCTGCATTGTCTGTCTCTCCTGCCCTTGCCTGCCTCATGTGCCCTATTTTCATCCCATTTGCCTCTTCAATTGAAAAAAACCTTAAATTGTTATTTCTTCATAGCCTTGGAGTAGTCTGGTAGTCATTTTAAGGGAGATCTATCACCAACATTTATGCTTGACTTTCCATTGGGAAATCATATGGTTCCCAAAACCCACCCCATTGTGCATCACTGCTGACATACGAACGTACTGGATTTCTGGAAATCAACCACCAGTCCTGCTGCACTGGAGTCCTAGCTTCATACGAAATGGTGATTTTTTTATACACAGGTGTTCGCTGAGCAGCAGTATTTCCCAATACTCAGTAGTCCTGTGCTAGCATGTTTCTCTATGCTCCAACTCACCTGTCCCACAAATATGTTACCCGCAGCTACCAGAGACTCAACAGGAGTTGTCCCCATGAAAATTTGCATTATCCAACCAACCTAAAATGATTTAAAAAGGAAAAAAAAACACAAAACACATTGGTCTGCCTATTCCATGCACTTCTTGAATTAATCATGCCAATGTAAGAGTTCTGAGACAACTTACAATATTTCCTAAGTTAATCATTTCAGCTTCAAGATATGGCACATTCATTTAATAGCATGTTGAAATAAGCCAGAGGAGGGATAATTTAACAGAATTGAGAGTACCCCAGGCTCCTCCTGGGCACTAAATTGTTAAACTATATTAATCAAAGCAGATATTTTGATGTGTCCTTATTACTTATGTACCTGTCCAAAGGGACTTGGATCATATGAAGGGAAAAAAAAGTGAAATTTAGATTAAGGCTAAAAATGCCTTGTAGAAATTTTAGCACTCTAGGTGAGGTTTGTGGTGCTTATATAACAATCCTGTGAATGAGAAGGACAAAGGACTTTTTAAGGGTATCTTCAAATAAGGTTTAACTACCACCATCCAGGAAGATCTTTTCCCTCGTATGGTAAGTTGATTGGGCAGACAAGGCAGGAAGTGGACTTTCTGTGGACTTGCTCTTATCTTAGGTCCTGGACCTAGGACCTGACAGAAATGAACACTTAAAGCCTGAGGTGAGGAACCAGCCTCTGATCTTATTCTGGGGATCTGTGACAGGAAGGTATATGCAATTGCTACTGCAATGCTTAGTAGAAAGCAGAAATCCACTGTATGTGATGTAACCTCCATCCTGCACTTTGGGGGCTGGGAGAGGGGCACGCGGAAAGGAAGATTTAAGCAAGTATGGCATCTGAGAAACCCTAAAGCTAGCCAGGCAAATCTAACAATTACTATGACATTAACAATAAAACCAGATTGGGGGGAAGAAAGTGTTCTATATGATGCCAATTAGGATTTTGTAGTGGTAACATTTGGAACTATTTCCAGCTTGAAAATAAACAACTACTTTTCACATGTCAACCCCTGAGCAGCTTGGTCAGGGCCAATGCTACAGTTCGGCTGCATGTATTCAAGAAGTGTCCTGTACTAGGCAAATGAGTACCTACTGGCAAAAATTCATACCTTTCCAACGAGCCACTGCATGAATCCAATGTGGTAAAGCATAGACATTACTGTGCTGAAGAAAACCACAATTGGCAGGACCTGATTTGGAGACACAAAATCATTAACACTTTTATAGTGGTTTTCCTTTCCTTGATTCTGTAGGCCATTTATTTTTTGAAAAAGAGGGTCATGTTCTTGAAGATACACTTAAAGATATTGAAAACACATAATTAAGTTTACACTTATGCTGTAAAATTTTTAACTTTCTAGACTTGTTTATGTTTGTACTGGAATTAACTATTTCTCATATATCTACATAGTTTTCTAACAGGACTGCAATAGTTTTGAAACTGGTTTAACATGATATGCATTAGTTTATAGCCATGTTTAAGTCAGCTCAAACATTTACTGGGCAATGGCATCTACAAAGACTTGGATATGTGCATCTGTAGACTTTGAAAACCATGAACAGAAATATATACAATGGTACTGTGGTGTAGAATTCAGAGCTCAATTTCTCTGTGTCTGTGTTTAAAAAACACCGTTTAGACTGCTATATAAGCAGAAGTTGGAGACATTTTGATTGGGATTGTAGCTGATGATTTCACAGAATCAAGGACAGCTTCCTTAGAAAGCCCATATTGTGCAGCTGCCTTTTAATAACATATTATAGAAAAATCCTCTTTTATTCTGCTCTATTTATAGCATTGATTATAATGCCAATGTGGAGTATTCAAGAGGTCTCTATCTGTATGCAGAGACAGAATCTGCTTAAAAACAAATTCACAGGTGTATACTTACTAAATACAAGAAGTGAATGTAAGTCTCTTTCAGTGGAGACTGAAGGAAAAATGTTTTCCTTAAACATGTAATTTAAAAGAATTGCATGAATGCCTAACCCACTGTCATAGAATCATAGAATCATAGA